TCTTTTTTTTTTCGTTTCGTCTTTTTCATTTTCGTCAAACAGGAATTAAGTATCAAAAAAACACACATTCTTTGACGACAGTCAAATATTTTCATTGACAAATTACATTTTCTAATCCTTTGAAATTCTATGCAGGAAATTATCTAGAGAGTAACCACCCTTCAACTATTCTTAAAACATTAATATTTTCCCCCAAATTATGTTATTCCAACAACGACCGAAACGATATTTCGTTACATATCGATATCGCTAGTCACGCGAATCATTTATTTTTGCTGCACATCAAACCATAGATGCATTCGGCAATCCTCGACATCCTCGAATATACAGTATAAGGAATATACAGTATAGGGAAATACAGTATGGGGAAATATAGTATAGGGAAATACACTATGTGAAAATACAGTATGTGAAAATACAGTATGGGGAAAATACAGTATAGGGAAAATACAGTATAGGGAAAATACTGTATAGGAAAAATACAGTATAAGGAAAATACTGTATAGGGAAAATACAGTATGGGGAAAATACAGTATGGGGAAAATACAGTATGGGGAAAATACAGCATAAGGAAAATACAGTATAAGGCAAATACAGCATGGGGATTATACAGTATAGGGAAAATGGAGAATATTTAGTATAGGAAAATACAGTATAAGTCAAAGACAGTATGGGGAAAATACAGTATGGGGAATATACAGTATAAGGAATATACAGTATAGGGAAATACAGTATGGGGAAATATAGTATAGGGAAATACACTATGTGAAAATACAGTATGTGAAAATACAGTATGGTAAAATACAGTATAGGGAAAATACAGTATAGGGAAATACAGTATAGGGAAATACAGTATAAGGAAAATACAGTATAGGGAAAATACAGTATTTGAAATTACAGTATAAGGAAAATACAGTATGTGAAAATACAGTATGGGGAAAATACAGTATGGGAAAATACAGTATGGGGAAAATACAGTATAGGAAAAATACAGTATGGGGAAAATACAGTATGGGGAAAATACAGTATAGGGAAAATACAGTATGGGGAAAATATAGTATGAGGAAAATGGAAAATATTTAGTATAGGAAAATACAGTAATGGGGAAAATACAGTATAGGGGAAAATACAGTATAGGGTAAAAACAGTACATGGACAATACAGTACAGAGAAAGTACAGTACAGAAAATACAGTATAGGGACAATACAGTACAGAGAAAATACAGTACAGAGAAAATACAGTAAAAACAGTACAGTGAAAATACAGAACATGGGTGTGATTTATTGCATTATATACTGTCGTCATTTCAATCACACATAAACCAGGTGTCGGAATATCATTCTGAAAAAAAGTTAATAACAGTTGAAATCGACCTCTACACAGGCCAGTAGCTACAGTGGACAAGAGACCCCCGAAAAATGGATTGCCCACTTGAAAAAATGACCTGACAACAAATACAGTAATGGGGAAAATACAGTATAGGGGAAAATACAGTATAAGGAAAATACTGTATAGGGAAAATACAGTATAAGGAAAATACAGTATAGGGGAAAATACAGTATAAGGAAAATACTGTATGGGGAAAATACAGTATGGGGAAAATACAGTATGGGGAAAATACAGTATGGGGAAAACTACAGTATGGGGAAAATACAGTATGGGGAAAATACAGCATAAGGAAAATACAGTATAAGGCAAATACAGTATGGGGATTATACAGTATAGGGAAAATGGAGAATATTTAGTATAGGAAAATACAGTATAAGTAAAAGACAGTATGGGGAAAATACAGTATGGGGAATATACAGTATAAGGAATATACAGTATAGGGAAATACAGTATGGGGAAAATATAGTATAGGGAAAATGGAAAATATTTAGTATAGGAAAAACAGTAATGGGGAAAATACAGTGTAGGGGAAAATACAGTAATGGGGAAAATACAGTATTAAGCCAAATT